CTTCAGACTGCCACAGTGGAAACCATGGAGGCTTTTTTTAAAAAAACATGTATTTATTTATTTGAAAGGCAGAGTTGGGGGGGGGGGGGAGAGAGAGAGAGAGAGAGAGAGAGAGAGAGATCTTCCATCTACTGGTTCATTTCCCAAATGGCCGCAATGGCCAGGGCTGGGCCAGGCCAAAGCCAGAATCCAGGAGCTTCTTCTGGGACTCCCACATGGGTGCAGGGGCCCACGCACGGGGCCATCTTCTGCTCCTTCCCCAGGCCGTTAGCAGGGGGCTGGATCAGAAGTGGAGCAGCCGGGACTGGAGCTGGTGCGCAGGTGGGATGCCAGCCTCCCAGAGTCGGCAGCTTTACCCGCTAGGTCACAACGCCGGGGCCCAGCGGAGAATTTCATTCATCCACCCCAGCCCTCAGGTTGGAACCCACAAACCACCCTGTTGTGGGGACATTGGGCACAAGCCCCTGAGGACAGCAGATGAGCAGCAGGGAGAGGCGACATCACGTCTCCTACCGCAGCTAGAAGGCCACCACGTTTGCATCAGTTTCACAGAAGCACTGCATCAGGGATCTTAGTGTTCTTACTGTCCCTTCGCAAGTGTGCAAAACAGCTTGGCTACGAGAAGGTGAAAGCTGTGCTTTGTAACAACCCCGTACAGGTTCCTTGCCAGCACTTGATCAGAAAGAAGCCTGGCTTATACCGAAGCCAGGGTCCTTCCAACGCAGCCGTTGAAGGCTCACGCTTGCACTGAAGTTGTTTCCATGTGTCGCTGGCTGCGCGAGGGAGGTCATTGTTGGGGGATCCCGCGGTCTGGAGGATTCGAGGGGTGGTGAGTGGAGGAGCTGGTGCACAGAGGTCTTCTGTGAAGGGGACGTGGTAGGCGTCTGCCATCTCTGCTACAGTCATAGCATCCACTCGCCGAGTGCTAATTACCGTGAGGAACATTTTGTGAATGTTGAATGCTTTCCCTTCGAAGTCCTTGCACCCTGCTCTCTGTCCAGCGGCTGGGGCACAGACACCAGCTTGTCCAGCAGGGCAGAGCCCATCAGTGCACACTACCGTCCACCTGCCAAGGATCCGTTTAGGAATGGGCAGGGATCCAGCTGGGACCAGTGAGTTGCGAGGGGCAGGCCTATGCTGAGGGCTTCTGGGAGTGCTTCCTCACTCGGGAAAGAGACACTCAGGGCGGAAGTTTTTTCAGTGTGGATGAGAAGCCTTGAAGTGACGGCACCAGTGCAGGGAGAGAGCTGCCACAGACAGAAGCTAGGAGCTAAATGAGGCGGAGACACCGGCCAGAGCCCCTGCCTCAGACAAACCCCTCGCCTGCACTCCTGGCATCAAAACAGATTCGATCCAGCACGGTTCTGCCTTCTCTGGGGCCGTTTGCACCTGCGATTCTGGGACCCGCTGCCAGGGATCTGTGGGCATGGTCCCCATGGCGACGTTAGCAAACTGTCCAGCAAAACAGTCCTCTGAGGTTGGTACCACCGTGGTCTCGGGCTCTGGATGAGGAAGCAGACGCGCTGCAGGGTGCAGTGACCTGCCCAGGTCACAAGACTGTGGGTAGCAGAGCTGGGATGCAAACCCAGTTCAGTCTGATTCCTAAGCCTCCTGGCAGGGGTACCTGTCCGTTCTCATATCCAAGCAGCTCATCGTCGGGAAGGCATGTGCTGTGCTGGAAGGCAGGGGGAGGCCCGGCACCTCTGTGCCCTGGAGCCCACCAGGAGGAAGGCTGGAGCTCAGGGCAAGGCACCGAAGTCCTAGGGCAGGCCTGTGATGGACACACAGCCACGGGAACCACGTGGAAGGCTGTGCGTTCAGTGCTTCCACCCTTTTTATAGCCAAACATCACACACAGGCTAAAATACATAAAACATAAATACATGGTATAATGCACAGTTGAAAAGAAAATGCTGGGTTGGCCTATGGCAGGTAACTTCAATGCCTACATCTCATGGGCACCGGTTCAAGTCCTGGCTACTCCACTTCCCAATCCAGCTCCCTGCCAATGGCCTGGAAAAAGCAGCTTGGTCCCCGGCAGTCATGTAGGAGACCCAGATAAAACTCCCGTCTCCTGGCTTCAGCCCTGCCCAGCTTTGGCCTTTGCGGCCATCTGGGGAGCAAAGCAGAGGATGGAAGAACTCTCACTCAGTCTCTCCCTCTCTCCCTGTTACTCGGACTTTCAAATAAATAAATTTAGAAAAACAAAGGGAATGTCCCAGTCGAGATCCATGTGGGTTTCGTATGTCCCTTCAGAGGCAAAGGAGATGGTGAGACCTCCCGGGCGCTCTCTCCGGCCCGGTCATGTCCCCTGACCTGCACTCCTTAGGGGGAATCGCGGGGCCTCCAGTGCTAGTCTGTGCCATTGGTGCCTTAGGGGACGTCTGCTGAGGCGCCCACAAACGCTGTCCTCGAAAAGAGCCATTGAAAACACAAGTGACTTTCTGAGCTGGGACTGCGGGAGCAGCGATGCTATTCTTAGCCCTGTTCCGCTTTCTGTCTCGCCTGACACTGGATTCCCGGGGAAACGGCCTCTGCCGAGTCGTCCTGGAAATCCCGAGTCAGGGAGTGGTCTGCCGGTCCCCTGGATGGAGGCTGCCATCCCCACCCACCCCTCCTGCCATTGTGCTGCGGGTGCTAGGCCTCACAGGGGCTCCGTATGTGTACGTGTTTGTCCGCGTGTACACAGTCCACTCACTCTGCAGCAGTGTGTGTGTGTCCACGCATACACAGTCCACTTACTACAGCAGTGTGTGTGTGTCCACGCGTACACGGTCCACTCACTACAGCAGTGTGTATGTGTGTCCATGCGTACACAGTCCACTCACTACAGCAGTGTGTGTGTGTGTGTGTCCGTGTGTACGCGATCCACTCACTCTGCAGCAGTGTGTGTGTGTCCACGCGTACACAGTCCACTCACTACAGCAGTGTGTGTGTGTGTGTGTCCGTGTGTACGCGGTCCACTCACTCTGCAGCAGTGTATGTGTGTCCACGCGTACACAGTCCACTCACTACAGCAGTGTGTGTGTGTGTGTGTGTCCGTGTATACGTGGTCCACTCACTCTGCAGCAGTGTGTGTGTGTCCACGTGTACACAGTCTACTCACTGAAGCAGTGTATGTGTGTGTGTGTGTGTGTGTCCACGCGTACACAGTCCACTCACTACAGCAGTGTGTGTGTGTGTGTCCACGTGTACACGGTCCACTCGCTCTGCAGCAGCATGTGTGTGTGTCCGCATGTACACAGTCCACTCTGCAGCGGTGTTTGTGTGCATATGTGTGTGTGTACGTGTGTACGTGGTCCACTCTGCAGCAGCGTGTGTGCATGTGTGTCTGCATGTACTTGGTCCACTCACTCTGCAGCAGTGTGTATGTGTGTGTGTGTGTGTGTATCTGTGTATACGTGGTCCACTCTGCAGGTGTGTGTGTGTCTGTGTATATGCGGTCCACTCACTCTGCAGCAGCATGTGTGTGTGTGTGTGTCCGCGTCCGCCTGTACCCAGTCCGCTCACTCTGCAGCCGCGCGCGTGTGTGTGTCCGTGTCCGCCTGTACCCAGTCTGCTCACTCTGCAGCAGCGTGTGTGTGTCCGCCTGTACCCAGTCTGCTCACTGCAGCAGCGTGTGTGTGTGTCCGCCTGTACCCAGTCTGCTCACTGCAGCAGCGTGTGTGTGTGTCCTCCTGTACCCAGTCCGCTCTCTGCAGCAGCATGTGTGTGTGTGTGTGTGTGTGTCCACCTGTACCCAGTCCGCTCACTCTGCAGCAGCGTGTGTGTCCGTCCGCCTGTACCCAGTCCGCTCACTCTGCAGCAGCTCTCCCACAGATAAGTACCAGGTCTGCTGCATGTGTCTCCCACAGATAAGTGCCCAGGTCTGCCGCAGATAAGTACCCAGCTCTCCCACAGATAAGTACCCAGCTCTCCCACAGATAAGTGCCCAGGTCTGCCGCAGTTAAGTACCCAGCTCTCCCACAGATAAGTACCCAGCTCTCCCACAGATAAGTATCCAGCTCTCCCACAGATAAGTACCCAGCTCTCCCACAGGTAAGTACCCAGCTCTCCCACAGATAAGTACCCAGCTCTCCCACAGATAAGTATCAGGGCTGCCGCATGTGTCTCCGGCAGCTGACTCTGTCTCAGCCCTTTTCAAAGAAAGCCGAAGGGAAAGGTCTGTTTGAAGAAAGCAGAGAATGTCCATTTGCTGCAAACAAGAGAATCGATAAGTCCAGGGGCCCCGAGCCACCTTTGATACAGAAGGGAGCCCTCCGAGAGGCTTCCGTGGCCCAGGAGAAGCCTGGGGAAAGCTGGCCTTTGAAAGGAGCCTGGCCGGCCCCACGCCACGCAGGGGGGCCTGTAATTAGGGGCCCCATTGGGCCTCAGGAGGCTCCATCCAGTTCAGGTGCTCCCCACTTCTTGAGAAGACAAAAGAGTATCTTCCAGCCCTGAAGACTCCTTTAGTTATTTTAGTTACGAATCTATTTAAACACCTGGCATTCCCAGGCAACCTGCACGGAGCTGTCTTTTGTTTTGCACTGCTGAGAGCAGCCAGAAGCCAGGCTGGCTTGCTATTAGGAGCCGCAGAGCCTCCCTTGCAAAGAAAAAAGACAGCAGGTGGCCCTCAGACGATGCCTGGGGAGAAATGCAGGATGTGTGTGTGCACACACCCACGTGCTGGTCTCCCTACCCGTGGCCTCCAGTGTATAGGTGTGGCCATGACAGGCATCTGAGTGTCTGCTCGGCAGTGGCTTTCTGTCTCCCTAGTCACCAGGATCCCGCCACTCAGAGTCCCCCACCAAGTCAGGTGGCGGGACACACTCAGCTCTTTGCAACCAAGCTTGTTTGCAAACAGCTCTCCTCAGCCAGAGTCTCTGTAACCTTGGCCTCCAGGAAGCAGCAGGGTTTTGGGTTTGGCTAGTGACAATGGTGGATGAGCCAGGAGGAAGCCAGCGGGTGGCTCCAGGGGTGCGTAGAGAAAAATGTCTTCCATCCTCTGGTTTACTCCCCAGATGGCTGCATTGGCCAGGGCTGGGCCAGGCCGAAGCCAGAAGCCTGGAACTCCATCCTGGTCTCCCGCACAGATGGAAGGATCCCAAGTTCCTGGGCCGCCTTCCTCTGCCTTCCCAGGGAGCTGGACCGGAAGCAGAGCAGCCAGGTGCTCCAGTACGGGATGCTGCTGTCACAGGTGGAGGCTGAACCCTTGCACCACAACGCCGGCCCCTGAAGTCTCAGTGTTTCCTAAGCTGCTGCTGTTTGTCCTGCTCAGAGACCACAGCAACACATGAAGCTAGGGAGGAAGCCCTGTGCCTATCCAGCCCGCCTTCCGGTGGGGAGACAGAGATTACAGGCAGGGCGTGTGGCGTGTGGTACGGTCAGATTGTGGAGTGCGGTGGGGAGTGCTGGCGTGGGAGACAAGCGGAGAAGGTCGGTGCTGGCAACCCAGCGAAGGCTTGCAGGAGCCGCGGGGCTGGCCGGCCAGGCAGAGAGAACATCGGTGGCCAAGGGTGGCGCAGAGAGAGTGGCGGAGGCAGAACTGCCAGGCGGGAGCCAGGCCACACGGGGCCTTGAGGGCCTGTGCAGGGACAGCCAGCTTCCGTTCTGAACGGAGTAAAGGAGGCTTTAGGTGGCTCCGGCCGAGGTGACGGGAGCGTCTCAGGTTTCCATGGCAGCACTCTGAGTGCCCCCAGCAGGGTGGGGGGGACCCTGTGCCGACGGGAGAGGCAGTGGCCAGGCTGACGGCCAGGCTGACAGCGGTGGAGGTGGTGAGACACGATCCCACGCAGGACGAGTTCTGAACAGGGCCTGGATGTGCGGCTCTGGTTTCTGTTGCTGATGACGCATCCATTTTGAAGATGGGGTTCATCTTGGCTCACGGTTAGCGATGGTCCAAGGTCAAGGGCCACAGGGTGGGCGGCCTGCTGTTGCCCAGCGGGTCATGTGTTGAGGGTCTGGAAACACACAAGCTTACCCCTGGTTGCTCTCTCTTCCTGGAAGGCCACCAGGGTTCAGTCACAGACACTCCACCCTGCTGACTTTGTCTGACCCTAGTCACCTCTGTAAACCCTATGGTTGCCTGACTTTCTACCCCTATGACCCCACACTGGGGAGTCACAATGTGGGTTTCCAAGGGGACAAAGCATAGTCAAGGATTTGCTTGTTAGCTGGTGCACCATGACATTGGTGCTGGGCTCTCACAACTGCCATAGGCCCTTGGCCATGCATGCCCACCCTGGCGTACCGCGGAAGAGTCCATCAGGGCACAAGTGTGCCTGATGGCAGGGGTCCTCGGGGAGCCTATTAAAAGCTGGAGGCCAGAGTGAAGGTGGGACAGACCCCTGGGAGGCCACCTCCCCTGCAGGGCAGCTCGGAGGAGCCGCGGCACCTGCTGACCCTGCACTTGGAGTCAGAAGTGGGGCTGACGTCACACTGCTGAATGCTCTGCTCTCCTCTTTAGCTGGAATGTGTTCCGTTGTCAACCCGTTCTTTACCTCCCCAACACGCCTCTGGGTTTTAAACGACTGAATATAGAGATCAGCTGGCCTTAAAATCTATATGTCCAAAGCCTCCACCTTCGCTAATTCTAACCTAATTTTTGTTTAAATGTTTCAATTCAGAGCACATCTTTTTTTTTTTTTTTTTTAAGATTTATTTATTTATTTGAAACACTAAGTTACAGAGAGGCAGAGAGAGAGGTCTTCACTGGTTTACTCCCCAGATTATCGCCATGGCTGGAGCTGCACCAATCCAGAGCCAGGAGCTTCCTCCGGGTCTCCCACGTGGGTGCAGCGGCCCAAGGACCTGGGCCATTTTCTACTGCTTTCCCAGGCCATAGCAAAGAGCTGGATTGGAAGTAGAGCAGCCAGGACTAGAACCACTGCCCATATAGGATGTTGGCACTGCAGGCGGCATACCCCAGGCCATATCTTAAGATCAAGAGTTTATCAAAAGTGGCTCTAACATATAAAGTAAAAAAAAAAAAAAAAACCCTGCCCCCAGGCTGGTTCAACCCTGTCCCAGGAGAACTGCCACTGCTGTCCCCTGCCTCCCACCTCGCCCCTCCTGCCTGTGCCCACTCCTCCCCTTCTTGTCCCCGCCCCTGCTGTGGGGCGAGAACCCTTACCTCCCAGCTCTGCCTTCACCCCTGGCTTTCAGGAGCCCCCCCATTTGCATATTAGTCTGAGGGGGAGGCGGACCCCTGGAAACAGTGTGCTCAGGTCTGGTGGAAGAGAACACGATGCAGAAGGCGTTGGGACTCCCAGACCCTGAGACCAACGGTGCTGCAGGGCGTGGAACATGCCCCTCACCAGGGGCGGCCAGGGCCAGGCGGGGGTCCAGCGGAGGGGTCACGGCCACAGGCACAAGTGTGAAGAGTGACCCTGAAGAGCATTAGCCCTGGTTATCAACGAGTGCCGGGCAGTCTGCTAGTGTGTCACAGATGCCATCTCCCTGTGTCCTGGTAACACGGCGAGGCTCAGAGAGGCTTAGCAACTTGTGGGGCGACACAGGGCTCGTTGCGGAGCCTCAAGCCATCGCCAAAGACAAGTTCGCTCAGCTGCTGCCGCCCGAATACTTGGCGTTCAGGCATCCGTTTATACAACTGCTTTGTTATTCCGTTTGCCTGCAACAGTAACCGGCTGGGTTTGTCAAGGGTTTGAGGGAGACCAAGAAAGCGCCTTCCTCGCCCTTCACCGAGTCTAGGTGAAATAAAGTAAACCAGGTGGAGATCTGAATACAGCGTTGTTACAGGCGTGGCCGCATGAGAGGGCATGGCCGCATGAGAGGGCGTGGCTTCATGAGAGGGCGTGGCTTCATGGGAGGGCGTGGCTCCATCTGTGGTCCCAGGCAGGCTCCCCAGCTGCCTAGCTCTGCTCCTCCCTCCGTAGGCACAGGCATGCACCACACGCACAGGCCTATGAAGGAGGGCTGAGCCGCACAGGTCCAGGCCTCCATCTCTCGTCCCGTTCAGCACAGCACAGAACAGCAGGTGACAGTGCCTCGAAGAACCAGCGAGAAGACCTTGGGCTCTACCGGCAGGAGAGAGGGGGAGGAGAGAGGGGGAGAGACAGGGCCCGCAGGGACTTCCTGTGTGTGTCCCCACAGTGCTGGCTAAGCTTTGCCAGCAGCGTGTGACATAATCAGATTCAGCTGTGGTGGGGAGAGTGGCTGGAGGAGCCACAGTGAGGGCAGAGAGGGCCAGAAACAGGGGCACTGGTGCCAGCCCGGACGGGAGATGCTGGTGAAACGGAGGCCAGCGAGGGGGCTCGTGCCCCAGGAAGGGACAGATCCAGCTGCCCACGAGGAGGAGGAGGAGCAGGTGTAGTCAGTGGTCCCAGGACTCCCGTCCTTGGACACCCAGCCACGCCTCCAACCAAGACCTCCGACCCTGGCCAACACCTTCTGAGCCGAAAGCCCTGTGCAAAGTGTGTTCTCTCCCAGGTTCATCCTCCGCGTGAAAACGTCTTCCTCCTGACATTTTTACCGTCTGCAGAGAAAAAAGGCCATAGAGAGACGCTATCCTTGCTGTCCCAAAGCGACAAGCTCAGTGCAGCTGTTGGCAGGCCGCTGGGCCGCCTTCCTCGCCCGTGCTCGGGACGACGCAGCTGTCGTTAATGAGGGAACACAAAGCACTTGGGGCTGCGTTTGCCTGCTGCCTTCCCCAGCCCAGCCAGGCAAGCACACAGCTCCTGGGAGGCTGAGGGTTGGGGTGTGGTGAGCTCCGTCCCGGCAGGCTTTGCTCTAGGTAAGGAGGTCTGTGCATCCGCGTGCAGCCAACATCTGCTGAGCCCCTGCCGGGGGCCAGGCATCGTGCTGGGTGCTGGGGATGCAACAGCGGATAAGAGAGACACCCTCTCGGAGTTGGTGGGACTGGCACTGGGGGACGCAGGCGAGTGCCAGACATGACGACACAGGGACCATGTGACACTAGGGGAGCCCGGAGCGCTTCTGGAGGACTGCCGCAGCAGAAAGCTTAGTAGGAATTGGTAATGTGGAAGGCTGAGCCAGTGGGGTACAGGATGCTGGGTATGGCAGCTGTGAACTTGCCCTCGTAGGAGTGACAACCAGGAGCCCCTCTCCTGGGCACACAGACCCAGCCCTTGGCAAACATAGCACAAGTTCAGTGTCAGCCCCTGGCTCACCCCCTGATCAGACCAGACAGCGGAGGCCAGAGAGAGGGTGGGGAAAGAGTGGACAGAGTGAGGTGAGGTGGGACATTTCAGAAAGCTTGGCTGCGAAGGAGAGGCTGGAGGTGGACATGATGCCCGGAGAGGAGAGTCAGTTGCTTTGAGATGGACCAGACTTGGACTTGTCTGTGTGTTGATTGACAGGAGGGAAGGGAAGACTCCCAGGCGCAAGGAGGGCTGCCGATCCCGGGGGGGGGGGGGGGGGGAGGACCACTGGGAAAGCAGCTCTCCAACACTCTGAAGGCAGTGGAACACAGAAGGCTGTGGTGGGGTCGGCCTTAGAGGGAGAAGGGGCAAGTCGTGAGTTTGGTGGCAGAAAATTGAACGAGTTTCTTGGTGCCTAGGAGAAAGGCAGGATCGTCTTCCAAGATGGCTGTTGGTGGGCCCTCCTTCCGTGAGACACCGCTCGTCCCCAGGTGTGTCTCATGGTCAGCACATCTGGTAGGAGCTCTCAGTCTTTCCTGCTGGACACCCTCCTGCTGGACTTCCCCTCCCCTCCCCTTCTCCTCTCCTCCTCCCCTCCCCTCCTCTCCCCTCCCTTCCCTTCCCCTTCTCTTCCCCT